TTGTTGTTTCCACTTTAATTCTTTTTATGGTCATAGGAGGAATATCACAATCCTCTACAACACAAAGTCGGCTTTGTTGGAGTTCCTTATGTGCTATTTCGTCCCAAGTATCTTCCAGCACCAGTTCCTTGCGGCCACAGTCAATTATAGCCTGTGAGGCGTGTAAGAAGTCCCAACCCAAAATTACATCATGGCTACATTTTTCCAGTACAATGAATTCATACGGCTGCGTTCGGTTGCTGACTGTCAATCTTATGGTACAACGTCCAATCGGGTTAACGTATTTTCCATCGGCTACTTTTATGAATAAACTAGACTTATCGGTCAGCATGGTTTTTCTTAATACAGTTTTTCGAAAATTGTCAGAAATGACAGAAAAAGATGCTCCAGAATCAATAAGAGCTGTCACTGGTTTATTTTCCATAATTATTTCGAGTTTATTGTCCTTCATCTGGGCCACTGTTGGAGGTTTTTCTCCCTTAGCGACCTTACCTCCGAAGAAGGGCGCTTCTTCTAGTTTTCCATTGAACGCCTAGATGGGGAGCGATTAGAACGCCTGTATGGAGAGGGTGATCTGTTTCTACGCCTATATGGGGATGGTGATCGTCTTCGTTCTTCAAATTGGGGCGACGAACTAAGTTGACTACTGGGACTAATCCCTTCGTCTGAAATGATCGTCTCTCTTTGTCGCGGGTTATAGTCTTGAAATGTCTGTCTTTCACGGCAGTGTCGGTATACATGACCTGGACGACCGCAGTGATAACACACTGGCCTGTTATCCTCTGTTCTCCTGATATCAGTTTTGCGACGGGGTAATTGAGGACGACGTGACTCATAAGTTTGCCGAGAAGGAGCAACTCGAGTTCTAGATGGCTGACGGCGTAGTGCTTCTGCTTGCCAATATCCAGAAAATAAATCCATAGATGAGAAGTAATTTGCGAGAGGTACCGGGATCGATACCCGGCGCCTCCACCAAATGCCACGTAGAATAAATAGGACTTAGTCTACAAAGTACGAGAGCTTTATTCAACACCTACAAAGTACAGTGAACAAAGTAACTGGGCCTCGGCTTGAGACACCCAGTCTTTTATAGGAATAATAACAGAAAGTGATAGGAACAGGAAATGATATGCTAGAACATTCTAGAAACTTCTAGAAGAAACATAAATAATAAATAAAAGCTTATTTTAGAGTTTGTACTTTCTTACAGTTCAGCGGATCGAACCCTGAATCTCAGTCTTTCCAGGACGACGACTCTGACCTCTCGGCCACACTGACACGCCAATATTGACGTTTAAGAAGAAAAGAACAATGATGAATGAGAATCAATTATGGTGTTGGCGAGTGGAGTGAGCAGGGCATGGGGTCTCCTAGTCTAACGAAAGAAGAAAAGTTATAAAAAGACATTTTGATGAACTTTGTGAGAATGACCGACTTCAAGACCCAACAAGCTGGTAAGGTATCACTGTTTCTTCCAATGGTTCATACACTTTGTGTTCAGCTAGAAAACAGATTTCAAGAAATGAAATCTGTAATTAATGCCTGCAAAGTTATGCAGCCTTTTTTTCTGAATTTTTTTGACAGCCTATTTTTTTTTGATGAAGCAAAAATATTTTACTCGAATGCTTCCGAAAGATGTATCTCAAAAATTTTCCGATGAAATTTCCAGAGAGAAAACTGTTTTTAAAAGTAAAATAAAAACATTTTTCTGCTGTTTAAAATCTACTGGATCTACTTCGTCCACTGCAATACTTTGGTTTAATCGTATCCTGATGTCTGCTTCTGTTTCATGTTTCTCACAGTTCCATTAACAGAGACTAAGGCAGAAAAACCTTTTTCTAAGTTGAAATAGCTTCAAAAATACATTAGAAGCGCAATGAGCCAAGAGCGTTTAAGTCGCTTGGCACAGTTTTCAATTGAGAATAAGAGAGCATGGAAACTGGATCTTTCAAACCTAATTGACACTTTGCTTTTATTAAATCGAGAAAAAAACTTTTCAAGTGAGTATTGTGTTATAAATAAAAGGGTGATCAAACGGCCTCAAATCTTGAAGACAGTTCCCGAATTTCATCGATTGTATTCAAAAATTCTTTGAGGGCAGAAAATGTCCCCAAATTTTAATATGTTCCTTAAATGTTCTCGATTTTTTCTGAAAACTTATATTTAATTAGATAAAGTGAAATATCGAAGGAAAAGAAATAGAAATGCGCATTATTTTAAACAGGATAGTCCGTTTTACTACGAATACAAACGTAAAATAAACTAGTACTGTGCTAAAACTATCAAATGAAAACGCAATGCTTCTCTTAAAATAATTTCACCAAAAAATAAACGAATTTTAATCTAATAGAATATTTATATGATATTTTGAAACTGCTTAAAAATAAAATCAAGTTCGATGATGATGGTTCTGCACTTGATATTAGTTATCAATTTTTAAAAAAAAGTTCTGCTGCACACATAAACTTATATTTTTCATAAATGCATCAAGTACTCAAATCGTAAAAGTTTTCAAGGACGCCAATTTGTCCTCAAATAGCTGTTTATATGTTTATATATTTATAATTGGCTATCTTATATATATATACACTCTATAACAAAAAATTCGACTCACCAAGAAGGAGTTGTCCGATTGAAACGAAAATCGGTGGATAGGAAGACAATGTACAGAATAGTAAATGATTAAAATTTCAGAACAATTGAATAATTTATTGCAGAGTTACAGTAATAAGTTTAATAAGGTGTTGACCCGCCTATATACAAGCTGCCACACGGCCTGGCATAGACCGATAAAGCTCTTGCTCTTGCTGTATTTCCTGCCAAATTCGATCCAATTGTCGAACGAGGTCATCATCATTCCGTGCCAGATGCAATCGCCTTCCCATCATATCCCAGACATGCTCGATGGGAGAGAGATCTGGTGATCTGGCAGGTCAAGAAAGAGTTTGAGAAGCTTTCAGACAGTTCATAGCAACACGTGCCGTATGTGGTCTGGCATTGTCCTGCTGAAAAACCAGCCCAGGGCGCTGCAAAAGGAACGGTAGCAAAACAGGTCTTAGGATGTCGTCGACGTACCGCTGTGAAGTAAGTGTACCTCTAATGACCACCAAAGGGGTCCGACTGTCAAAGGAAATGGCACCCCAGACCATAATGTCTTGTTGAGGACCGGTGTGGAGTGCAATAGTGAAGGCAGGATCCCCCCTCTTCCCTGTGCGTCTCCAAGCACGTCTTCGATGATCGTCAGGACATAGTTGGAAGCGGGATTCGTCGCTAAAGAATATACGTCCCCAGTCGGCATCATTCCAACCTGATCTGCTCAAAACATTCGTGCATACGAAATTTCAAAGCAATCGGATGATTGCTTCCTGGTGAGTCGATTTTTTTGTTATAGAGTATATATANNNNTATATATATATATATTTAACCCAAGATATTATTTTGAAGTTATTTAAAGTGATTTTATTGTTATTATTTTGCATCTTTGTTCAATCGATTACTGTATCATTGACGCTTATTGTGTTCTATGTATAATGGGCTCTTATATTGTAATTTTTATAAATGTTCTTACAACAAAAACTACTGTGAAGTGATTAAGCGGTCGTATTATTTTAGTCTTCCTTTAACATTAATTTATAAAATTGCCGACCCGCTTGTGTAGGGGGAAGGAATTGTCCTTGCATCAGAAAGGTTCTGGATTCGAATCCCGGGCAAGGCATGGATGTTCTTTCCTTCTCTCTACTATCTGTCCTCACTGTGGGAGCAACGCTGGCCTACCTAATATGGTTCCCCTGAGAGAGAGGCCAACAAAATCGCCCTGTATATGCCTGAATTGACGGATGTTAACACAGGTGGGCATTGAAAAAAAAATTTAAATTTGGCTGAAACAAACCTATTTATTATACGTTAATGTACGAAAAAGGCCATTTTTAAATACTTTCTTGTTAGAAAGATTTTTTCTTACATGTTAAAAGAATCAGAATTCCAGTGATTGAGGAGGCTTCACTTTGTTTCTTTGTTCGGGAGAGATTTTCCTATCCAGCGACGTTTGACGACACTTTCGGCATTTTCTCAAATAATAATAAAAAATTTGATTGTTGATTTATTTTTCGATGGGAATAAAAACTTTTTTTAGAAATGAAGAGAAATGAAAACTTGCATTATAATTGTGACCAACTAAAACCAAGAGAAAAATCTCTAAATGGGAGAGTGGGTCATTAAATACCGCTGAATTGTAAATTTGCGCCCCAGAATCTCCGAGAGTCTATAGCTATGTCACTGCACGATTAATAACTAAATTTGTTTATTTTTTAAATAGTTTTTATACAAGAAAATTCCAAAAACAGGGCACACAAATTCACCAACTTCTAAAAACACAAAGAAAAAGTTAGAAATTTGTAACTTTTGGTGAATTTCTTTCTATTGTAAATAACAGACTGGATACTATAAAAAATTTTGGTGCAGAGTTGCCACCACTTTCAGTGTTGAGGTAAAATAAGTAAAATATTTTAAGTACAAAACTGTAGTTATCGTTCAAAAAAAGAAAAAAAAACAATTGACGAAATAACAATTGTTTGAAAGAATTATACGAATATATTACTAAAAATGATCATATTGTTATGTGCTTTTCTAATGGGTATGAAAATATGTGTTGTCAGTAAACAAAGAAAACGTGAATAAATAAATAGATAAAATTATAAATGGGAAAACTAATGAAAATAATGCGATTACATGCACTGTAAAAAAAATTGTTTTACTTCAACACAAAAAGTAAAATAAAGTTTGTTTACTTATACACCAAATTTTTTTACAGTGCATAAAAAGCAAAATAAACTTAGCATAAAAATTAACAAATTTCATAAAGAAATAACTTTCTCTAACTCACTTTTAATTTTAACTTAGAAATTTAGGAATTTTTGTACGTTGCTTTCGCTTATCGTTCTGTAACAGTTCACCTTGCTTTTTTATTAATTACTAAATTTGTATTGTAAGAAAGTATTCATAACTTCACGTATTTAAATAAGCTCATGCGAATACTTGCGCTAGGGGAGAAATAATTTTAGAAGCAATCAAAGTTTTTTTTTCCAAGTTTCATGGTTAAAAAGTTCTTTTTGAAAACGCGCTTTAAATTTGATGATTTCCTGATGATTATTCTTTAAAAAAGCAATGATACTTTTTTACACAAATATTCCGATTGTCCTATAATGATGCCATTATTTTTTAGCCCAAAAAAATATCGTTAAAAACAATCTTTTCCAGTTATTCAGATATAAAATGGATCAAGGTACGCTTTCCAATACTCGTTTCTGATTATAAAAGAACTGAATATTTATACCCGATTTATTGTTGCCATAGAAACATCACGGATATCTAGAGTTAGGGTGAAAATGGATCATTTTCGAGGATGTAGCGTAACTTTTTAGAAACTAATTAGAGCGTTGGCAAATAAATTCACAGCTTTCGAGCATTTTTATTTTCAACAAATCCGTTATGAAAACTTTGGATTGCCATTATTAACGGTCTTTGGATAACGGTGATGCCCTATGCAATTGCATTTAGGAAAGCTTGTTTTTCTAAGAATATATAATAAAAGTACATTTAGTGGGGGGGGGGGAAGAAAAAAAACGAGAAAGAAACGGGTGGATTTATTTTAACTTCATTTCAAAATTGTAATCGGCTTTATAATAACCTCCAATGATATACACACTCTAAGAAATTTCCTTAAAGTTCGGAGAGAATTGAACACTAACTTATACAGCCAGCTCTTTTCTTAGAGAAAAAGTCCAAGTTTCCGTAACAAAAACGAAAGTAGTAGAGTTGACCGTTAATATATACGGTTATTCTATAAAACTTTCTAACAAAATTTGAAAGTGTACACACTTTTTTATGGTGTTTGCAGATCCAAAGGTCTCGAATTCGATCCT